CCGCCCCCCCCCCCCCATAAAGCAGTAGATTATAGGCTATTGTGACCCTCCACACCCACCCACCACGTCGTAAGCTTCCAGACAACCTTGCAGCCCTACAACACGGAGTGTCTATACCTTTAAAAACTAGCCCACAATTTCGGCAAGGTCGAGGCCAACCTCTTCTTCCGGTCCCTGTTTTCGTAACAATAATGCGGCTTGTCCATCCTCTCTGCCGATCCATGTTTTTTCGTTCCCTGCAACAAAAACAGAAACCGCCCCTAAGTTCTACAACAGCAAACGCTTAAGTGTAAAACAGCTCCTCACGCCCGCAAGCCGGGATGCCCAACAACCGCGGCTGGTACCGTCGTTTGTATGCACATTTCTTAACTACAGGCGACTGAGGGAGATCACAACCCACCCATAAAGGTAGGCAAAACAAGCGGGTAAGCTCAGGTACAATCTGCCAAGAAAAACAGCAGGAATATGTTTGCGCACGGTAGCACTAGTAGTAGCAGTCTTTACACGCACATATTCAACAGGCGCACGGATACCGGTGCCTTCCGTAACACAAAATGTACAAGCCGTGGGGGGGAAGTGCATGCAATATTCTACAGCGCGGCCCCCTGCCTTCCACCTCCGTCCCCCCCCCGATCCCAATCATCGGCCTGATTCCGGCAAGGCCTTCAGGCCAGAAAGAGGTAAGAATTTATACGACGCGAGGCCAATATGCAATAGAAATCAACACAGCAGCAAACGAACATGCGACAAGTTTACGACATACATACTCCCCTCTCCTTCTTATAACCTCTGGCCGGCATGCAATAACAAATCAACACAGTCAACGAACATGCGATAAGCTTCCGATATTATCTCCTCTCCTCCTTACATCTTTAACCTTGCCCCTTAACAGCAGTCAGTGCACCTTGTCGACTGGCGCGGAGAAAACCCACCCATAAAAAACTACCCATAAATGTCCTGCGTCAAACGCGCTCTTTTCTATCAATCTGCCGGGTTTCGTCCGGTCGGAAGCTGAGCGAGAGTGAAAGGGGAACGATTCAGCAGCAACAGCGTGATGATAAATCGCGCTCCATGCTGGACAGCAACATACATACGTCATGAGAAATAGCGCTACATGCTGGAGAACCATCACATAAAAACCCGAAAAGAAAAAGAAAAATTACTTCAAAACCTTGAACACTTTTGCGGAGCGAGAAAAAACGCATATTTACGTCGTCGTCCCACCCAACCCAGACATACACAGGGCACCAACCTCCTGGTTGGTGCATTGAGCTCAACCGCCCGTCTCCAACTATCACACCCACCAAGCAAATAATCGACACGCTATCCCTACGGGAGAAGGAAACGCCAGCAGGGTGATGATGGCCATGCCCTTCGAAGCATACCGTATTCTAGAAAACCGAGCACACATAACAGCGAATACAAGCACGTACATGTACACATCGCACGAAACGCAACCAAAGAAATGACGGTTTTTCCAGAAAACCGAGCACACATCAGCGTATCTAAGCACGACGTACGTACATGTAACAATCCCACAAGACTTGCAGCAGCAGCACCTTGCAGCAGCACCCGCTGTTCAATCTATTCACGATGAACAAGAACGGCCGCGCGCTTTGGGAGTGAAGACGCTCGCGCCGTTCCAACTTCACGGACGCTTGTCATCGCTGTCCGAGCTGAGCCGCATCTCGCTTGTCTGCCGCCGATTGCTTCAGCGACCCCCCTACCCCACGGGCTGACTGATCTGGTCGTCCTGATGTACTCTCTGGTCCTTCTCCGCATAGGTATCTAGTTGTCTTGTTTATGTCACGGGGTCACTGCCTTCCTCTCTCTCGCGCGCCACCTTTGCCATCTTTTTCTTGTCTCGCGGGGGGGCTTGGCGTGTTGGGCTCGAAGCTGAAGTTCGAAAGGTTCCCCCACGTTCTCGTATTCTTGCGTAAAGGTGTAACGTTGTCGTTTGCTTGCACGTGCCCACCGATCCCTGTTGCTTATGATGGTGACCATGGACCCAGGTCCCATAG